CGTAGGCTTGGCCCCTTTTCTGTTTCTGAACAGATCAACCCAGTTGCATATCGGTTACATCTACCGGAGTCAATGAAGATCCATCCTATATTCCACGTGTCTCTTCTTGAACCATATAAGACAGTGGATATACAAGGAAGAAGACAAATGCCACCGCCTCCTATAGAAGTAGATAATAATGAAGAATTTGAGGTGGAAGAGATATTAGACTCAAGGCGGCGCCGAAATAAGCTGGAATATCTTGTTCATTGGTGCGGATATGATATTAGTGAGCGCACATGGGAGCCATCCAGGAATCTAGCAAATGCATCAGCTAAAGTCAAAGTTTTTCATCAACGACATCCATCAAAACCAAGATGAAAACCTCTCTTATAAAAGAGACAAGATTGAGGAAGTTATGAAGGCCTCAACAGTGATCAAATAACAGGGTGGTCTTCTCGCCCTGGAATGGGACACTATCGATGGCTAAGAGGACCCATCAACTATCTTCGAAGAGAACAAAGATCAGAGTATGTAGCAAATACAATTCGCCGCATATTAGATTTTCTCAATATATAATCACCGCTCCTCGTGGAACTCGTCCCTAGAAGGGGGGGTAATGTCACGGACATACATATAATTACCTATATAGATAAAAGTATGTAAAAGTAGATAAAAGTAGGTTAATTGTGTAATATCTTCTAGAGAAGCTTCTTAGAAGCTTCATAGACGCTGCTTTGACTTTATAGGAGTCTATAGTTGACTTTTAGGTTAGAAACTTGGTCAACAAGTTAGCCATGTGCCACACATGTTGGAAGCTTAAAGAACAAGCTAACTACGTGGTCCATCCATAGAAAACTTGCCTTGCAAACAAAGGCATGTGGCCTAGAAAGTCAACATATATTGGAGGTCTTATAGAACATCGCCACGTGGCTTCTAGTTAGATAGTATATATAGAGGCAAGAGTGAAGCCCTCTTCACTCTTGTCAACTCCTTTCTTGCTTCTAGTCTAGTTTCAAGGGTCTCTAGTTTTCTTGTATTTTGGCAATAGCCATTCCAGTTTCTTTCTTAATATACATATTTCTATTTTGTCCTATTTCTTTTTGAGAAAAGTCTCACTTACTCTTTAGCTTTCATCGAGTTCTTGTCCCTGACACTTTATAAAATAATAAACTTTAGAATATATGGTCAAGTTACAAGTATATTTCAAGTTTTTATATGCAAATCTATTATGTCTATATACATATCTATACAATACACTCTATCTAAAATTGTAAGAATTTTGATAAAAATAAGAAATTAATAGTCAATTAACTAAATAGTAGTTAAGTGGTGTTGATAGAATAAAGTACATATTTATTCACCAAATTAAAATACATGATAGTATTTGGCATATTTTTAGCACTTCTTTGCATCTTCATCATTTATAGTAATACACTTACAGAAATAAATTTCAATTAGTTAGCTTACACGAAGTAATTTTCATAAGAATTGAATAATTAATATATTGATAAAAATAAATTCATAACTAACAAAATACCATAATATGCATGACTCACTTATCAAACTTATTATATCAAGTAAAGCAATGTTTAGTTTGATTTGTTATAAGGAATTAGAAATCCATCAATAACACAATTAAGGTGTATTTGTAGCTTTAGAAACAATAGCTTGGTCCATGTGTTGCTTTTTAGCCATAGCTCAATACTTGACAATTAAACATATTGCCAAGACATATGTATTTTATCTTAAATTGCAACACAATTAATACCCATAGTATAAAGAAATAAAATTTGTCTCTAATTAGTTGTATACTAAGAATTCTCTTAATCTTTATATACTTCATCATATTATGGATAGTTTCACTTGGACTTGACTTATAGAGAGTTAGATATGATAATATTGGCACAATTATAGATGGCTTTAAACTCAAGGTGTCATTGCTGTGTTTCAACAATACCAACTTTAAATAACACATATTTATGTCGATTGGGCCTGCAAGATAGATCTAAATGAAGTTTGATTTGATTCTTAACTATGATATATTCTTTAATCATTAGCTACTTTGGATCTACATTAGAGATGAGTTAACATGACTAGCAATATTATCACAAAAAAATTAGATAATAATTTGTAGGCACTCTAACAATATTTTTATGTAATTGAGATAGATCAATTTCATTTGTTCAAAAAATAAGAATATTTTCATAGATTTTAGTCATTAGACCAAAGAATTCCTTAACAAAGAAAGGTGTAAGGTTAAAGATATATTAATCTAATCACTTTGAGTGGTATTTTGACTTAAAAAATTATTTTAAAGAGTGAGGTTTAATTGGCAATAAAACGTAAGAATAAATTGAATCAAAAACTAAGTAATGTACTATGAATTAGATATCTAAAAAAGCCTTAATAATGACCATGTCAATTTGAAAACAAATAAGGGATATAAAGATGAGAATAAAAGAGATAATTATTTAATATCTTTAGCCAATCTTGTCAAAGAAGGGAACCAAAACCTATGTTGGAAATAAAAAAAGAGAAGAGTCAAGATCCATATCAAGATAAGAAAAAAAAAATTAATGAGTTAATAAGAAGCTTTAGATGTATGTATAGACATAATAAGTATGTATATAGTAACTAAGAGTGTGCTTATAGCCTAAGCCTAAAATATATCAAATATAGTCAAACATTCACTAAAATATATTTAATATGTTAAATATATGAATAAAAATAATTCATTTACTTTAAAATTTTATTTTTAAATTTTATTTTATTCAATCTAATTTTTTAATAGTTAATAAAAAAATTCAAAGAATTTTAATAAGTAATTTTTAAAATAATTTTGAAATCTTATAATTAAAAAAGTAGATTTTAATTTGAAATTCTAATATAATTAGTTGATATTTTGTTTTTTTTTCAAATTTTATCATATTAAAAAAATTAATATTTTTTAAAAATTAAATAATCAAAAAAAATATTAAATTTATTAAAAATAATTTAATTCATTTAAATAAAAAAATACAAATTAGCTAATTTAAATTCTTGAAGTTAGATTTTTACATTTATTTGATTTAAAATTTTATACTTGATAAGATTTGTTTAATCTCATAAAGGATTAAAAATTAAAAATTTTCATTTCCAAGTTTTAAACCTTATTAGTTTTTATTAATTTTTAATTTAAATTTATTATCTACTGATAAACATGTAATCAAATTATTTTTTTCTATTTTCCGTACATATGTCTAACATTGATTTTTTATAGTTGCCTAACCTTTACTTTTCAATCTCTGTCAGAAAGACGTTGATTTTGTGGTTGTATTAGTTTAAAACTTTTTTGATGCATGTCTCAAATAATAAGAATAAATTTTAAAAATGTAAAACTGATTTTACAAAACCATATTAAGTGAAAAAGAAATAGAAATTTATATATCTCAAAATTATTATTTGATACTAATATCTTAATTTTATATATATATATATATATATATATATCATTTAGCTTTGGAACTGTTTGACTATTTTAAAGTTTTTGTTTTATGTTCTTTTAATGAATAAGATTTGCCTCTATGTATTCACAAAAATAAGGATTAATCCTTGTCTTAATAGACAGACATTAAGATTTCTATGCCTACATGTAGAAGATTTTGGAAGCCATACAATAATTATTATCAAACAAAAGTCAACTTCAATAACAATAATCATTATACTCTGAAACATTTTTAGATAACTATTTCTTTTAAGATAAAAAATATTAAGATTTTTCTTTGCATTATTTTGAAGATTTCCAAATCATGAATAATTTATAACAAATCAAACAATTGAAGGATTACAAAGATTTTATATTTTTCTATTGAATTAATTTGTAAGATTGCTTTGACATGTACATATATATAACTTTATCCAACTCAATTCATTTGAAAATCAATTTTGTGGTTTTTATTTGATTTTTTGTTGTTTCAATACACCAAAGATGATGGAGTTTATTCTCTTTAATCTTGTTTTTTAAAGAGTTGAAACAAGGATCTATCACTACAGTATATATGACAGAAAAATTTAGTGTAAGTTTTTGGTACTTTGAAATACAACACCATCTTTTTGAAAGAAGCCTAGTTTTCAACATGAAAGATTCAAATGCTCAAATTTTCAAATATTTCAGCACTGCTTACAATTTATCTTCATTACATCAGATATGCCATCATCTTGGTTTACACGTTTTGCCACCTATTCTACAGAAGATTTTTCCACCTATTCTTCATTGGTTAAAAAATAAATAAAATAAATAAAAAATAAACAGTGTATCAAGATTTAATGTAGTAGTCATAAAGTAATACAATTCAAGAGAAAATAATGATAATAATAATAATAATAATACATCATACAACTGTATTTTCCCACGATGGTATATGAATGCAAGTATCTTTGATATACTTAATATAATACAACTGTTCTCAAATTATGATTTAGATTCTTATGCTAATTTGTTTCAGATAGAGAATATTGAAAATCTTGTTGTCAGAGATTAATATTTTTTTTATAAAAAAATCATTGATGAATCTAGTTTGAAATATAATGAAGCTCGATACAATACAAAAACTGCCTTATCTTCAATATCATCACAAAATATGCATGTGAATAAAATTCCACAACATTTGAATGTTTATAAAAACTGGACATAATATACTTATATTATTTTTTCCACTAAAATGTCTGAAAGTTGACACTAATAGCAGAGAAAAGTTTATTTTTATTTTTATTGTTATTTCTTTTCTTTTTCAATACGTATTTAAAAAGTAAAAAATAGAACTCATAAATAACGATCGGTATAAAGCGACTGACAGCACACGGTCTCCTCTCCTCGTATCCTGTTGATATCCGTTTCATATCGGTCGGAGCTGCTACTGAGGTGATACCATGGCACACAGATGTCAGTGTAGAAACCAAAGAATGAATGGTAATATTCGCATGAGTGGTTGAATGGATGAATGAATCCCGCAACGGAGTAGGCTTATCCAGAAGAAGAGTGTCGTTCTGGAAACCACGCGCTCCAGCAATCTGGATGCTGGAGGTTTACAATAGGGTTTAGGAGGTTCCGCGACGGAAATTGCTGCCGGATTTGAAGGTTCTGTGTCGTGGCGAGTGTCTCTTCCTGCTCAATTGGACACCAGGGCCTCGAATTTTCCTGCTACTCGAGCTTCAGTTGCATTTTCCAACTTGCGAAGTGGAGACTGGAGGAATTTTGGGAGCTCAGTGGTAGGAGATTGAATAGTCTCCGCAGGTGGATTTGCGCAGTGTATGTTTTGATTTGTAGGCGAGTGCGATGGCTCTAGCTCCCCACTGTCTTGGCCATGGGAGCTGTATGCCTGCACACCCTTTTGGCCCAGGACAAGTTATCGTTTCCACAAGGATGCGAATTGTGATGACTTGCAGCAGTAATATTATACACAATGAGGAAACGTTGCAATCTGAGGATTCAAGTCGCGTTAGCAGTAGCAAAAATGGTAGTGGAAATGAGGGCAGCGATGGTGAGCAGCACAAGACGCTGCGAGAGCAATTGCGCTTGTTAAACCTGAACAGCATGAGTAAGAGAGGGTCGGGAGCGAGGTCGGTGAATGTGGAGACGCCCGTTAAGAGCAATAGTCGCAGTGCTAGGCCATCGAAGGGTGGGGGTAGCGGTACTGTAATGAACTCTGTCGTCGTTGGACGAGTACTCGAAATGTGAGAATCTTGACTGCTTGTCTTTTACAAGATCCCAGTGATGCTTGCTTTAAATTCGTGGAGATATCATGTCACTTTCTTTCTTACTTGCAAATTTCTAAAATGTAAGTTAGTCGTCAGTTGTATTTTATTTTTATTTTTTTCTGAATCTTCAATTGTGCTGCAGATTAAAGACTGCAAATGAGAGTGAAGAAGGAGTTGCGTTGGCAATGAAACAATTTGAAGGTTCATTTGACCCTTACGACGTTGTCGCTATTCTCAATTCGTTAAAGAGTTGGAGACAGGCGCTGTTGTTGTTCAGATGGTTGCGAGCTGAACATAGCTCAAGTCTCAATATCTACACTTACAATGTGATGCTGAAGGTGCTACGGCGCGGGCGTCAATGGGAGTTCTCTCAACAAATTGCTGAGGATATGGCCAATGCCGACGTTCGCCCTGATAACATCACGTATAGTACGCTCATCAGCTGTGCCAATCGCTGCAATTACCAGGTTTGTCATGCCCTGCCCTAATTTCTTGTTAATTGCAGAAAGATTCTATTCCAAGAGACAATATCCTATTTTTGATTCGTTTAAACCGAGATGAAGTCTTGATTAGTGTATATAGTTCTTTAAACTTTAACGAAGGCTGTTGTGCTTACACAACTCTTCTCGCCTTCTGTTAGGATGCGGCAATGGCATGGTTTGACAGGATGCACGAAGCAGGGTGCGTTCCTGATGTGGTCACTTACAGCACCATGATAGATGTGTATGGAAAAATGGGCAAGTATGACGAAGCCATCGCGCTATACGAACGTGTGAAACAAGCAGGTTGGAAGCCGGACAAGGTCACTTACGGCACCATGGTGCGGCTTTTTGGAAGAGCAGGGTATATTAGAGCGGCAGTCTCTATATTTGAGGAAATGAAAGGGTCTGGCGTCCAGCCCGACGCGATTGTGTACAACATCATGATCGCCTGTCTTGGTCGTGCGGGTAGGATGGGCCACGCTCTGAAGGTTTTTGAAGAAATGGAGCGAGAAGGAGTGAAGCCTAATGCCGTGACACTGAGCACAGTGATGGAAACTTACAGCAGGTGCGGCAATGTCATGGAGGGATTGGAAGTTTTTCAACGTCTGCGACAGGGTGTAGCTTGTGATGTCATTGTATACAATGCAGTGCTCAAAATGTGTAGAGAAGCTGGGTTGGCATCTGAAGCAGAGCAGTATTTGAGAGAGATGACAGAGTCTGGCCATCAGCCCAACGACTGGACTTACAGAAATATGATCAGTGTATATGCGAAGAAGGGTATGGCTGTGGAGGCGCATAGAACCTTTTCACAGATGGTTGAAGCTGGATATCAAATTGATGTTATGGCTTACACGAGTCTTCTCCAAGCGTATGGGAACGCCAAAGAATACAACAAGGTCCAAGAGATTCTGGACGAGATGACGTCGGTGAACTGCGCTCCTGATGAGCGGCTGTGCTGTGTAATTCTCAATCTTCTCGACTCATGCGACACAGATGAAGAGCTTGGGATTCTCCGCAGCTGCCTGAGGATGTGTAGCTCAACGATGGATACTATTGTTGGACAGATATTTGAAGAGAACCTTGTGTTGAGGGAGTTACGGGGCGAGTTGCAGTCATTGTTGAGTGACATCACAGAGGAAGCTCACAAACCAATTTGTAATTCCTTAATGCAGTTGTCTTGGCACAAGGGAGACCGCAACCACTCATTTCAGCTTTTGTCACTCTTTCGCGTGCTGGGCGTGTACACAGGATTGCAGACGAAATCTCCAACTATGTGGTCCCTGCATCTGCGGTCTCTTTCGACTGGCGCGGCTCATTGTGCTCTTCTGAGCTGGTTATCATCTGTGAGGTATGCCATCAAAGAAGGTCAAGAGCTTCCCGGCAGAATTATTATTGAGACTGGAGTGGGCAATCAACTGAACGCAGATGAGTTTCGGCTTATTGTCGTCATTTCTTCTCTTTTGAAAGAGTGTTCCTCTCCTTTTAAAGAATGTGCTGATCGAAAAGACTGGTTGGAAGCCTCAGGTGTAGACGTCACGCAATGGTTAGAGAGCACATCTTTGGATCTCCCCACAGTCAACACTAATTAGATCAGATTATATAATCACCATTTAAGTGGATGTGATAACCTGGCTCTACTCTGCTCTGCTGGCCAATTAGGTAGAAGTTAAATGGTTACGAATCATATGCTTTTCCTTGGCTTGAGTAGTGTATAATTTGAGGACTGAATGATTCTTATCTCATAGATCCCCACAGAAGAGCTTTAATTAAGTAAGAATCCCAACGCGGAGCCTGTTTGTTAACCAAGAATTTCTTTTAGACCCGCTAGGGGAGGCGTAAGCATCAGAAGTGGGTATTTCTGAAAGCCTTGATAGTTGCTGCTTTTTCCTCAGGCTTCAGTCCTAGGGGTGTCTCATTAAATTTTGCAGTTAGTACATTTGTGGTGCGTTGTGATATAGTTAATCTCTACATCATGAATATAAATGCATTCTTAGATGAAAATTGTCCCCCATTTGATCCCTTTTATCTCACACTGCACAAACACAAAACTCTGTACAGGCCTATTCTTGTGTATATAACACTTCTGTTTGTGGGGTTGCATTGGTATGTCTCACACATGGAAATGCTGGAAACAAATTCGTCACATATCGTGCGATTGACTTCAATCGGCTAAAAATGACTTCGTTAGTGAGAGGATCAGGAGTTGGGTGCTTGCAGAGGGATCATTATTGCAAATCCAATCTCGCTGTTGATACATGTTGATGGCTGACTATTCTGGAACCAACTGATGTACACCCTGCAGATGTGTGCCATGCACACAGCTTGTGTTGTGTGCATTATATAAGGCAAGTTTTTGTGCCGACGATGCTCAAAGTTTGATTTAGATATTCGCTGTACTGAAAAGCTGAGTTTGTTGCTTGAGGAAATGTTTATGGACCGAATCTATTACTCCTGCGACAATTTAGAATTCGCCTATCGTGGTTTGCTTTGGGTGTCCGAAGGTATAATTTTGAAGCGTTGCTGGTTTTGACAATGTAGAGATTGACGATCTGAAGGTGACTTTAGTGGGGTCCAGTTAGTTCCGGCACCAACTCTTCCAAACAGGCTTGTGAGGGATTCGATTATACGCTGATTCAATTATACTTGTATATACCTGCCTCTCTAGAGCTCGCTACAAAGACTCGGACCTTAACTGCCTCACACTTGCCATTGGTTTGCAGTCAAATGTGATATGTTACGTTTGTCGCGTGCATTACGCAATGGGTAACTGGAAACCCTGAATTCGAAGAACTTTCCTTCTCTGCAACTATTCCGACATTATTCAAGATAAATCTAGTAACTCACCAACATTGTTGAGAACGAGAACGTTGGTTAACTTCAAGGTTGCCGTAAGACATCGTGGTTTTAAAGTCCGCACAAAAATATCGTGCCATCGATGAGAATGACCAATTCTTCTCAACCGCTTGTTAGCATGATCTTAAAAATTCTTCAACGCAACTTCAAGCAGACAAAAATTGCAGTTCTATGAGGCCACCTATTTACAGAAATATTGAGAAGCACCATTGAATCGTGTTATTCTATCCAAACCTTCTTCTAGCTCCTCATGGGTCCTCGCATTTCTGATCCAGAGCATCCAGCAGCTCTTCTGGAATGCTACCAACCTCAGAAGCAGATCCACTGCTCTTTTAAATGGACTGCAACTCAGTCCTTTAGAATTCAACTCTTCACGGAGATTACAACCCTGCTAACTCACACTCTCTCTCTCTCTCATTGATTCCAACCCCACTTGAACTCAGACGATTTTTTCTCCGAATACTTAAGCCTATCAAATCTCAGATGTCCCAGTAATATTACTTCTGTTCACGGGCTTGAGAGAAACAACTGAAAGTTACAGATTTTTTTGCAAAGAGGCATGGAGCTGAGAAAGCTTAGGCTACATGCCTATTCTGAGGGAGATTCTCCCTGTTTAGTTCATGTAGAATATTTGAAGTAAGGTTACTCCAGAGCATTTCGAGTCACTCGTGTAGGTGATCGTCTTGGTTGAAAGTAGTAGTCCACGCGTCCAATTGGGCATTGTCCAGCTTCGTTAACCAACTCATTTTTCTCATAGGTTTTTGGGTCGTTTAGCAACATTCAGCAGTATCGACTGATTCAATTTAAGCTTTCGACCGCGTGTGTTCTTTTACTAAATGATTAGACGTGCTCGTCCATTGTCATAATGGCATATGCGATGATTAAAATAGTAGGACAATAAACATAGGGATGTTTATTCTAAGGGTGCTGGAGAAGTTTCACACGGATAATTTCGACGATCATTTAGAAAACAAAGGACAACATAGCTATGGAGCTACTACTTCCTGGATCCTCAGTTCATTTTCACACTTTTTCTACACTGCCTCTCACCAATTACTCAATATGATACTTTCTTCCACTATCGTAATTAGCTTTTTTACAAGTAAAAAAGCAAGAGTTCTTCGCAATATCCACCACACATCTGATGAAAAAGCATCACCAGAAGCAAAACGAGTTCTGCTCACGGGCTTGCACCATATTTACAACATCAACTGCAAATCCAGTAAGCATGGCCAGATATCTCCTTTATGGAATCTTCTAAAGTGTGAATACAGAGGAACAACCTTTCTTCTTTCGTGAGCAAGAAATACAACTGACAAAACTGACAAAACCCACAAAAGTTCAGAATTGACCCAGAAACCTTGCACATTCTTCCTCACTGCATGCCAATTCCAACCGATTCACAGGAATTTTCACACCTCAGAATTTATGCAACTGCGAAGAGAAACTACCCTTACTCACTTCACTCCTTCTCGACCCAGATGACATTTCCAAGTAGCCTTGACGAAATGCGAAAGCAACAAGAGACAACAAAAATGTGGAACTCAACACCCTAACGACGATTTTCAGCCGATACGACGACGTGGAGATAGGTCCCACATAGGATTTGGTAGCTACACCGTCCCCGTTTTGGTAACTGGGGTTACATAAAACTGCGCCGTCGACAACGCGTTCAGTTGAGTTACACGAACAGAAAGAGCAGCGCCGCCTTTCAACAGTTGTTTCATCGGAAGGGTCCTTAACCATAATTTTCGCATGATAGAAGCTTGATAATTTTCGTGGATGTCTAGCTATAATTTTGGGTCAGGGGATTTGGGTCAGGATTTTCGGTGACCTTCGAGTGAAACTTCCGGCTCCCATGACGCTGGTGGCTGCAACATTGTAAAACTTGCCACGAATTGGAGGAGATTTGGTTATTGTTTAGAAACTCCAGAAATTCCTATGAAGTGGAAAGTCAACATCCCAGCTGATCTAAGATCCCGATTTCCAATAATACACCATGAGATTATGTAAGAATGCATAATTTTCAAACGCACTCACTGGCTTGAAACAAACTCTTGCACATTCTTTCGGAAGCATTTCCCACTATTTAATAAGAATGACATATATATATATGTTCAATGTTAAATGCGTGAAGGTACTCATAAGAATATGAATGCTGAGAGTTGGGACCCCCTGATGATTTTAATTTCCTATTGAGTTTGGAAATTTTAGAAACGGTATATCGATATCACGGTATAACGGTCTCTAACCATCAGGATATTACGGTGTGTAGGCATCACGGTATCATGCCACCACGGTATCTACGCACAGGCAGTCGGAAGCCTCCACCTACCGACCTCAGAAATCACCTGGCGTTGCTACCGACCAAGTCACCACTACCGCCCTTAAGTGAGGCTCCTACAGTAACGCTCTCCTCCCGCGCCACAATCCTTCTGTGCTCATCTAGATCACCATGCTGCTATCTCGCCCCCTGCTGGCATTTTTGCTTTTCCGTAACGGAGATGAGCGCTGCTTCTGTCTGTAACTTTTAGTGTTCGCATTGGAATCCTTTTGTTGTCTTCTGGTTTGGTTGCGATTCTCGCAGGGACTGGAAGTGAGAGGGGAAGAGGTTGGGAATTGACGGAGCTGCATTTGGGGGTTTACAGTCTGTTTTTGATTTGTTGTAGAACTTTTGAAGGTTTATTTTCAGGCTTCGCTGAAGTGAAGTGGGAATTAGATGACGTTGGCGGAGTTTGTGGTTGGTGGACTTGCTAAGTTCTGACGTTTGGTAGTGTAGATTTTGATTGGGTGGGGACTGCGTGGGTAATGAGCTGGGGTCAAAAGAGGGTGTTTTGTTTATTGAGAATCATGCTAACCAGCGAGTTTGTCAGCGCAAAGGTGCTCACTCGCTGCTGGATGTGGTCACTTTTAGAGCGTCTTACGGCTTGTATTGCATCTCCTGGTTATTAGGGCTGATCTTTGGCTCGCATTTTCCTGTTTTTGATTGTGTCCTTGAAGGTTGCTATTGGATTTGCGTTGGAAATTGCATACCTGTTTTGAGCTGCGCTCATATTGAGTTATTTCTGGGTTTGATTTGGTCGTTGTCAGGCATTGTAGGGACCGCTTGTTGTTTTGATTATAGCCGTGTTCTGCATAGGATAGTTTTCAGGGACTTTATCAGGGCTGTTTAATTTGGTGTCGACCCTACACTTTCCCTTGTAAAGATTTTGATTAGTTAAATATCCAGAATGCCACAACGTCATTCAAAGAATAACAATGATCTCGCGTTCTTTACGTACGATGAAAGGAAGAAATTAGGGTATGGCACTCAAAAGGAGCGGTTGGGGAAAGATTCCATAAAGCCCTTTGACTCGTGCTGCACATGTCTACAGCCTGTAGTCGATCCTCTGAGCTGTGGCAAAGGACATTTGTTTTGCAAGGAGTGTGTCTTTGAGTGCTTGCTAGCTCAGAAGAAGGACATCAAGAGGTGATATGTTTATTCCTGCTCAAGTTGATGGTCTCCACTTCGGCTTATGGTGACCCTGTTGAATGTGCGTGGAGCCTGGAAAACTAGAATTTGAACACTGGACTGCTGTTAAGCGCCATGCTGTCTAGTTGAGTAGGGTTGGAACTCTTGGCATTATTTAGTTCCGTGTCGCATTCGTTTTTCTCACAGTTGTTGATTGTGAGTCATAAAGCATGTTAGCAAGTTGTCTTATTTTCGCCGGTTTCGTCTACATGTTCCAACGAATGCTTCTGTTGGATTTGTTGCAGAAAGCTTGCTACTTTCACTCAGCAACAGAAGAGCGATAAAGAGGACGAGTTGGAGAAAATCACCGTTGAGAAGCAGCGAGAACTTGATGCGTTTGTTCGACAGAACAATTCTGCTGTGTCACACCAGCAAATCACTGGTCATCCGGGCGATCGCCATGAATTCCACGGGGCTAACAGTGTCAGGGTTACCTCTTACGAAGAAGAAGCACTTCGTACAATGAAGGCTTTTTGGTTGCCATCAGCAACACCTGGTGCAGTGGAACGGGTTTCAGCCCCCTCTTCAGACACCATATGCCCAGAGGGCAACGAGAAATTGAAATTGAAAGATTTGTTTCCAGTTGTCTTCACTGAAGTGCGAAACAGAGAGAAGAAAGAAGTTGATCTCGATGGTTTTAGGTACATGTGTCCCTCGTGTTCCGTTACCCTAACGAATACGCTAACACTCGTGGCTGTGAGTTCTTGCGGCCATGTCTTCTGTAAAAGATGTGCTGACAAGTTTATTGCGACAGACAAGGTGTGCTTAGATTGCAATAAACCCTGCAGGGCTAAGAACTTGATTACATTGGAGAAAGGAGGAACCGGATTTTCTGGTCATGATGAAAATCTGGAGGCCAAAGCTTTCAAACATGTAGGTAGTGGGACTGGTATGGGTCTCTCACGCCCCACAACAAAATTGTAGTTTATTCGGCACCTAGAACAATGGTAATTACTTTTCAAGGAGAGCCTGAGTTCTTTTACTTCTCCTTGGCACTAAAATTATTACTATTTCCGAAGATGAGGTTACACCTAGATGTGAAACCTCGTTCAGATTGCCATGACTTTTCCGGATTGAGGGTCAATGATTTGATATTTAATCTTAGCCAATCTGGGAGGGTTTTTTTTTTTTTTTTTTTTTTTGGCGGAAGTTTTGAAACATAGCCCTTTCTTTATTCTGCCCGAACCAATTTGTCAATTTCTGGTGTTGTGCACAGCATGTTCCATGTTGCAGGGTTGTGCTATGGCAATATTCCCATTGGAGTGGACGTGTCCCTTGTATGACAACGAAGATTGTAGAGATCTCCCATTGGTCGTGATTTGTGCACCAATGAAAGTTCTCTTGTGGATTCGCTCTCAATTTTGCTGATTAATATTTGCACCCTGATGGCTGTTATTTCGGTTTCTAATCTCGCGCTGCCCCTCGATGTCCTTGAACCTTATGCGAAGTAATTGTTTGACACCCTCATGCGGAACTATGATGATTGAGACCAAGGATTATTGTTTAATGTATTAGACTAGTCCTGAGAGCTTGACTCTTGACTTTTTCCGAAGTAACTGTCATCAGTAAAGAGTTCACTCTAAAGTGCTTTGGTTGGTGAAATTTGCACAGCAAGGATGAGTATGTATACTGTTTTGTATATAGGGATCACAAATTGGGATCGTAGTCCATAGGATTTTCTGGCCCACATGTACACTGTTTTGTTTATTTGATTTCACTTCAATTCCATGGATATGCCAACGGCTTCCGCTAGCCTTCACACAATTACCATCTTAGTCAAAGCATCAGGGGAAAGGTACTTCCATGGAATGTTATTCAGGGTTTCGAAGCGTTCGAGCTTAGGAAAAATCTGGCATTGTTGTGTCACTCCAATCTCTCATTTTCACTTGTTGATGACCACCAAAAGAAACTAGCGAAGGACTTGAAAACCTGTCCACTCTTTCACACTCTCTTAATTAGCTTCGACAATAATGAAATTTATTTAGGCTTGTCGTTGGTCACTGCGCCGATTTTTTAATGAAGCGTGATCGATGGTTTGCTGCTCAACCATTGACTCAAGAAAGTTATGTGCCCCAGCCAGACAAATTGACAAAATGGTGAGCATATTGAAACTTTCACGTTTCCAGATTTTCACACGGAGTTCTTACCTTATACAACGCACTAAGCTGTGAGGATTGAATGTGTACAACTCAACAGATCGACAAGACATCGGGTAATTGATAACTATGCTCAGCGATCTGAACGTCAACACACGACAGTACCAAATTAAAGCTCAGAGATAGACGGAGATCGTGCGATATTTGCAAAACGAACCCTAAACCCAACAAGAACCAAGGCTGGCCCCATTAAGGAGTGGACGAAGATGTCAGATTTAAGATATCGGCAGGACTGAAATATTCTACCAAGGACTCCTGAATTCAATATTTTCTAAACTGGGAGATACATTCTATTGAGAAGAAACAAATTCGACAACAACCGGCAGAGTCCAAGACACTGAATATCATCAAAAATACATGACAAGCTGGGATCACCTGAAGTGCTTTCAGGAGGGTAGATCACCAAACTTAGGTTTGAGTTAATAATTCTGACTCCCTTGCTACAAGTGCCCTACACAACGCCAACATATAAAAAAGTAGGTATTTTTTTATCTGAGTAGGCGGTAACAATATGGGACGAAATGACCCTCAACAGTTCCAATTTACAGTACACTCTGGAAAGCAACACATGACGAGGTTGCAGAGCATTCGTCTCAACATTCATGCTTGTATGGAAAAGCTTGAATCTGTCACTCAAATATCCAGAGCTAATTGAATCCTCAGTGCGTGCATTGGGAGTTTTGTCCGAGCTTGTGAACAGTTTTTGCATCTCCTAAAAACCTAGTATTTTTCACACTTGAGCAGGGCCTGCAATTGCAACGCACCGCATCGCATCCACCCAAAAGCATCACTTCAAACGTTGAGTTTTCATGGGCCATGTATTGAGGATGTCATAAGGGTAAACGAATGGCATCAGCCAAAACGAGAACCATGAGATTGTCAAGTTACATGAAGGAGCCGATGCAGGATGATAATACACGATGTTTGTTGCGCCAATCTGCGTGGCAAGGAGAGACATTCCCTCAAAGAAGGCACATCATTCCCTTATGTAAAAAGCAACTCGCAGCGGCCGATCCTCCAGATTCCAGATCGTGCAGTCCGCCAAGGTCCCAACATGAGAGTCCTGTTCATATCGCAATCCTCCAATTGTGGAGCCTGCACTGCAACTGGCCCAACTAATTCTCACAACTCCAAGGTTCATCCATATCCTAAAACGATTTCCTAGCCAAACTAGCTGTTCGGGGAGTGAAGTGTCAAAGCATTCAAGTTGTTTCATCTAGTCTGCACGGGGTCCGCGGTTCAATATTAGATGAACTTTGGCTAAGTCGTAGCATAACATGAATGGCCCGATCTGGTTGGCACCGCTCGTGGATAGTGCCTCATCTGCAGGCAGACTTATCTAGCTCTTGCGACAGAGCCTGGTATCAAAAAATGGTCCCATATAGAGTCCTGATCATCCACTTTGAAACTTTCTTCCCAGTACGAAGTATGACTTGTTCCAAATCGCTCGAATTTTGGTCACAACCGCTCCTCCATGTGATCGAAAAGCCCCACCTCATCCTAGGTTGACTCAGCTCCAGGTAAACCGATCAGCCGATACAATTTTGACCGTGAATACAAAGAAAAAGACACACCTGATTCCGAAGCACCTAAAACTAGGAAAATATCAGCGATACCCTCATGAAAGTCTCAGAACCGATGCACATGAGAGTAGCAACCGCATCGCCATTGGTGAGTGGGAAGGCCGGTTGGTCCCTCCCCACTTTGGCTCCTCCCTGTCGATTAGCGGTACCTACGACCCCCTAGACATCTCACCCAGCATGGCAGTCATTGTAAACGATTATCTATCCCTAGGAGGCATGTGTAGAATATCCCATCTCCTCCTCTTCCTCCTCTTGTGAAATTGTCCTATTCCGGCTTTCCCTCGAAGATTCATCCAGCCAGATTCCCATTTCCAAATAAGTTTCCCATTTTCTTCTCTTCACTCTCAGATATGGCAACAACCTCCGGAAGGAAACCAGTTGCTTCGGGAGTTGCGCCAATTCCAACAACAGCAGCACTAGCAGCAGCATCATCATCATTATCATCAACAAAACCAAGAGTGAAAGCAAGTCGACCTCGATTTGTGAGATCTTTGAGCTTTGGCCTTGTGCCCCACCCCATGCATTCTCTGATCGAGTCTGAGTGGCTGTTTACTGGTAACCGTTTGAACTGTTGTTACTGAAATCAATGAATCATTCACTGGGTGATGTTCCTGTGCACCTCCGGATTGGTCTTGTGGGGCACCCTCACAATCAGGAGGGAAAAATGAGATAAAATAAAATAAAATATGACAAAAAACTGTGACAAAAAATGAAGACTGAGTAACATCGTAGCATGGAACAATAGTGTAGCATGGAACAATAGTGTAGGTAGTTCCTTGCCAAATGGGAGAGAATAAAACATATTGGAAGTCATCCTTGGACCAGGAAGACATTAGTGGACTTGAGAACTATTCGTGACACCAAATTGGGTTTATGGATGAATTGTTTTCGAAAACTTTCTAGGACTTGCCATGACCAAATAAGCATGAATGTAAGATGGACCAAAAATTGACTTCTGATTTAAATAAAACTAATATATATATATATATATATATAGATATATTTCTAGCCAGGTGTGTCTTTCAATTAAGACTGATGTATTGATTTCAATTTACTTTTTTAAAAAATTGAAAGAATATCATCCAGTCTATACTCATGTTTTACAGCCTCCTCATAATTTATAAGTACTATGGTATATTAAAAGTTGTGATGTGTGGATCATGACACGTGATAATGATTCACCAAAAAGGTCCTCGAGTTTTTATTATTTTTTCATTATCATGTCAAGTATGATACATTTACTGGCAATGTTTGTAATTCTAATATTTATTTGGTTATTTTACATTAATGTATATATATATATGTATATATATGTATTTATTTATTTATATTTTAAACAATGCATCACATTACTTATTCCCATAGTTTTGAAGAGAATATTAAAACCTTGTTAAGATCAATGCAAGTTCCATGTACAACCTTTTATTTAGATTAATTTATTCTTTCTTGAATTTGGTTAATTCCATTGTAATAATCATATCATCACTTTAAGCCAAAATCAATATGAAAGCCAATACCTATATTTAAGAACATGAATTGAATTTATTTGTTATAAAATTTTGAAGACAAGGGTAGCATTGGAAGAGAGTCACACTTGGTACGAATATTACTTTCACAATCTCAATAAATGTGTTTCATTTAAACAACTAAATAAATAAATAAATATTGTTAATATTATTGTTGTTTTTGTTGTTGTTATTTTTATATCATGTAATGAAACCAACATTCCTCTTCATCTGTCAGCTAGGAAATTCATCTGCTTGTACCATTCAGATACTTCAAATTCTTTAGTTTATGATTATTTTATGCTTATTTACTTTAATTTTAAAAAAATGAAAAAATGAAAAAAAGTGGTTCCTGTCTGCCTCAAGATGTGGATACAACAATAATCTATTCATGAGCTTTGATCACATAGAATTTTTGTGTGTGACTAATTTTTCAACAGAAAAAATACATTATAAATTTTAAAAATAATAAAGTAATAAAGTAATAACACATTGGATTTTGTGATTGTCTGTAAATTTTGTGATTTTCCAAGGCCAAAAGCTTGTTTTGCAAGTTCCCAGTGACTTGCTACAGAAGATACTACAAAAAGTGTCATAACAATATTTACCATCCATGCTATTAAAAGCTTTTTTTTTCAAGATATTACTATATGGTTTTTTAAAAAAGAAATTGAAGGTTTTTAATAAAACCTAAGATGTTAATTTCCTCATAAATCTTGGACTTTATTAATTGGAATCTTTATTTTCCATTAATTTGAAAATAATATTAAACAAAATTTTTACAACAAATAGTTTTAATTTTCTTTCAGTACAACATATTTTAAAATATGCAATATAAACATATCTTATCAATTCTTTTCTAAAGCTGTGAGTATCTTGTGACTCAAACCCTAGTTATGGTTTTGCACGACCATTTAAAAATCTTTACATATTTGAAAAAAAAAATTTTGTATTTATATTGCTTGATTCCCTTTCCATAGAACTTTTGACATATATGATGAAGCACTGCACTGTTTTCTTATTTATTTCACAATTAATTATGTTTTTTTTTTTCATGGTGTGCTAAAATGACCTAGAGCAAAAGTACCAAACAGAGCGTAACATTCAAGGTTACCCATATTTCCTGAATTAAGCACAATTTTGGAATACTTGGCAATCTATTTTAATTATAATTTTTTCTCTCTCTGGGTCATAGTGTTCTAATGTAAGCTGGTCCCATAAACCATTCTCATCCTTCAATGTTGTGAACTAGAATATGCTTGAAATTGGGTTTCTGGAATGTGCTTTGGGGATGCACTGATTAGCATCTTGGGATTTATTCTCTAGAAAAACTACATATAATTGATACACAAATTAACCCAACCCTAAAAGGCTTCTTTGTCTGCTGTGTGATTACATGAGAACATCAATTCTAGCACATCACATGAATGAAAAACAAACAAATAGATAAACAAATAAACACATAAAAAATAAAATAGTTTGGTTTGTGGCATACCATGATAATTAACGTGCTTTGTGGATTAGGTAGCTATAACACCTCCAAAACAAGAAGCATTGGATGGATGGATGAATTTAAACCAACACCCACTGCTCTTCACACAAGCCATGACTCCACTACCTCTGCATATATATATATATATATATATATGTATGTATGTGTGTGTGTGTGTGTGTGCGCCAGGTCTGCCTAAGAAGTTAGTTGAATATTTGGGTACACAAGTACAAATAGAGCAATCATAAAACAAACTCCAAATAATTTTTCACTGTTCATTGATCTGATTATTGTAATATCCAGTTTGTTCACACTGAATTTTCTCACACAGCATGAAAAAACACATAACAAAACAAACAAGGAAGACAAAGAAAAAGGAGTTTTAATTTGTGGTAAAAGTTTGCAGTTATATTAGCACCTGCAGTGATGTCTTAAAACTTGATGTGCTTTTTCTAAACAAAAGTCATTGGGAATATGGGGTTCTGTGCTTATGATTTGTGGGTACATGGTGAATTGTTACATTCTGTTGGAAAAATAAAGTTTGTAATGAGGATTTTTGGGTTTCTAAAGAAATAGGGCATTTTTTGTACTTGTAACAAATGTAAATTAAAACATAAATTAACCTTCTCCGTGCACATATTATTAAACTTTTTTTGCATGAGGGAGGTTAATTCAAATAATTCTATGCTTATCCACAAATCATTTATTTTTAAAGCATAGATGTTGGATAGTAAGCTTAACATCACAGAATTTAAATCCACATATAATAGAAAATTTATTTATGATTCTTAACATGAATTTCAGAAAATGCTATTGGGAAGAATTGTTTTGTGGCTTAGTTTTTTGCCAAAAACGCTCCATGTATTCTTTTCCTATGTGATTTTTTTTTTTTTTTTTTTTTTTTTAATATTACGAGTTAACAAGTATATTTAAAATTTTGACTCGACACAGGAAATGTTTGTTTTTTTTACATTTATAAATAGGTGGTTGTTGGCAACCTACAGAAGTGTTCAAAAAGCTTCAATATCATGACCAAACTTGGCGACCACTTTTGCACTGCCACATGAATCATGTTTGTAAAAAAATGGTGGCAAAGGATTTTAAAATTTAAAATTTAATTCATATATATATATATATATATATTTTTTTTTTCTTCTTTGTTTATTTTTTTGTATACTGTTTATTTTATTTCTTTTTTCCTTCTTCTTTCTCTGTTCATTCATTTACTCTTTTGTTTCTTTTTACATCCTACTAGTATTTATTCAATCAGTTATATACAAGAACAGAGACACTCCCATGTAATTTCATCAATCATAACATCATCATTCAAGTTTCCACAGACAAGAAAAAAGAAAAAAAGAACTATATTCAAGTAGTTAGATTTCCATAACACTCAAAATCCAACTAATCTACTCCACAATTAAAACTATTTTATCTACAAACTCTTGGATTCTTCCATCCTTCATCAAATTCAACATCCATTCTCATTTTTCCAATAAATGAATTTTCTTCCTAAATATTTTTAGCTCCAAAATCTACATGAATTTCATAGAACATCAATTCACTGTCAAACCTTTGACTCCCCTAGAATACCCATTTTAACTCCATCACATGCTATTACATACATATATATATATATATATATATCCACACTAATTTTGACATCAGTGCACTCAAAAAGCAAGCTACAACCAGGATTTAGTTCAACAAATTTGAAAATTGTAATCAAAAGCACTAAGTACCAGAATGAAAGCTGGGTTAGGTTGAGGACACAGCAAGGACAATGATCTTCCAAATACAATTCTGAGAAGAAAAAAGAAAGACAAAAACTAGCAACGCCCTTTTTCTTTTCCTTGTAGTTATTTTTATTTGCTAAAGGGGTGGCATTCATTTGGCTTTACTTTTGCCATCAGCCATGAAGCTGAGTAGAAGCTTTTGAAGGCAGTACCCACAAGAATGCATGGGTTTCATGGAGGGCTGCAACCCCATCATGAAACCTGGCTTTTCTTTTGCACAATCTTCACAGATCTTAACAGCAGTTTTTTATGCATTCAATGGAACACAACACATGAACTTACATGTGTGTTTTGTTTAAGTGGTTGCCAACTCTTCATACAGTTTTGTAGTGTCACATTTATTTATTTATTTGTTTGCTTTTTGGTCTTACATCAGATTTCAGACATTTGAGATTAGGAAATCAATGGTTTTATCTCAGAACACATGTATAAATCCGTTTTTATGCTTCTTCATGATACAAAATTATCATCTTTAGAAATGGGTTTTTGTTTTTTTATGATTTGAGGAAGAATGTTGCATTAAAAGCTCACAGTAAACCCAAGGAATCTTACCCAGCGTAACACGTTCAAAACAATTGGGTTGTAGATGAAAAAAATGTGGACTTCTCATGCACAAGGTACTGAACTCAAAGACCAAGTGCAATGGCTGGAACTTGGGACTTGGAATGAATTGCAAACGGTGAAATCCAATTTAAAGGGAGACGTAAATGATGTGGAGAGAGAATTAATCGGATGCCGCTCCTGAGGGGCTGCCAATCATGGTCTTCAGGTCAGCTGCTTATCGTCGTTGCCCAGCCCGGGTCTCCTCGCAGCACTAATTAAAAGCAACCACCCGGAAATAATATAGAAACACATATTGCTATCGTCACCATGTTAAGCAAGCTTGATTTGAAAACAGCAAACATTCACACGTCTCTTCAGCACCACAGCTCCGCAATCTATGGGTCTTTTCCTGAGACTGGAATGCTTCATAACTAGCTAACTCCTGTATAAATCCACCGCAAGGTTCCTTGGATTGTTAACATGCAGCCATCATCGTCACTGATCCGTTGCACTTGTTGTTGAGGACAGATCAGGCGCTGCAGCGTCGCCTTGTTAGAGGAAGAATGTGTTGCAATCTAAAAATAAAATAAAACTGGTCACGGAATGAGTTACGTGGGATGGGGGAGGCAGTTAATCCTGTAACCATGTTACCGACAGGGAATCAGATGGGTGCAACTTTTGGCCGGCACTCTCTCGCCTCCGTCTTTCCATCAACAGTCTCCTTGTCTCCATTGTCCGTTGTGCGTACGTTACTGTACACGGCATCCAATGACTCGTACCAGGACTTGATTGGGTCGAAGGGTTCAGTTCCGCCTTGGACAAGATGCATTCAGTGAACACCTCCAGGGATTTTCTGTTGAATATCGATAAAAATAAAATAAAATAAAATAACATATAAAAGACTTCTCATTCGTGCTATAAATGAAGAACAAAAGAATTTTCTGCTGTTTATTGTTCACTTTGTTGGCTACCATTGCGACAGGGGGTTGCAGCGGGTGGAGTGTCACGTTCTAATGGGATTGAGAATGGGTTTTCGGAAATTTTGAAGAGGTAACATGATCAGATGACCGTGATGGGTGTGAATGAGTATTCATGTGGGGGTGTAGATGCGAGCAGCTGAGCTGTTGTTGGTTTCATGCTCGATTGTCGAGAATGTGTCGAACCAGTCTGGCCCCCTCCCATCGCCGCGGTTCTCTACCAGGACGGCAATCTATATTTGAGCCACTATTAGGGTGCCGCTAGCCTACTGTAGAATTTCTGATAAACACTGAAACCTGTTCAGTCAATCGTTGAGTTGTAGAGGTTGGGTTGGGCTGGACTGCGAGGTCGCGCCTTCACTGTGGCTCTGCAAGTTCGTGCAACAGTCCGATGATGATTTAAGGAAGCTGTGGATCTAAATTCACTGCGCAAACGGGTATTGAGATTTACAAAGTGTCATGTTCTTTTTGTTGGAGTGAATGGGGGCGTGCCCTTGCTACATGTAGTGTTTCGATTCATTCAAGGTGCGATGAACGCAGAACTATTGGCGTGTGCCTAAGTCTTGTCTCGATGAAAGAGAGCTCGAGACCGAGGAGGCACCCAAGGCGTCCAGTGAAAGTAGCTTGATCGGAGCGGTTTGCCGGCGATCAAGGTGTGGTATTTTGTGGATATTCTGAAGGATTTTTTGTGGAGAAGGTGTTAGTGGAGCGTTTTCTTATCAATTTCAGTTGGAAGGTGGGTCCGAAAAGTTAGATTGTGTACTCCGACATGCAACAGATGAAACAAAGACTAAGTCGAGGTTCTTCCGTAACGAGCTAAAGTACTTTCCAATTAACAGGTAGGGGCTTGCGCTGGCGGCCGGCAACAGTGTGCTATTGGAATTAGCAAGCTCCAGAAAGAGCGCGCCAATTTTAAGGTTGCAGTACTCTTGCGACAATACTAGGTTCGTCTGGTAGAGGATCAGACTACCACCTTGGGTTTTGGGAAATGAGCGACTACAGGAGGGGATGTGAGAGGAGCCCAAGGAACTGAGAGAGGATAACGCTTTGGGATTTTGCACGATCAGTGGAGATAGTCGGCCATGGCACAAAAAACGATGTGTCTTGCGTTTCTAATCCTTGGTTAACTCCTGCAGTTCAACAGTCCGCCTTTCTGCATCGTTGAGCCGCAATCGGTAGTCGCAGGTTGGTATTCAAGCAGTGGCTGCCCACGAAGAATACTACCTGGGAAGTTCAATAGATAGTTTGCTGATTGGAATTGTAGATCACAAATTTTCGATTACATTTTCGGAATCGGCTCCTAAGGTACCCCGCATGATACTTGCAGGTGCATGTACTTTTAGTCTGACAATGAACTAGCAGAAAGTCAATGCTTTGTTGGAGCTCCAGTTGCCATCGATGGCATTCTTTGGTGGAATAAATGACATATCAAAAATGCTTACATAGTCAGAAGGTTGGTTGTCCATTTGGAGCGGTCAATGAGTGCTCAATCGAGGGTACTATGAGGAAAACTGGTCAAAATGAAGGTCGCAAATTCGCTACGACTATGGTCGAAGTGGTTCCTCTTTCTGGAAATTCTCGCATCGCTTGCAATCTTCACCACCTCAGAAAATAGTCTGATTCGTCAGCCTGCATCGCAAAGCATTTCCTCCAGCTCTAGCGAAGACAGAAATTCCTGGAGGCCAGATGTGAAACCCCCTTGGAGGGCGAACGTGAAGCTGAACGGGAACCCCCCACGTTGCGAAGCATCGCAAATGAGATACGACCCCGAGTGTTATTCGAAACTGGCCAATCAGTCAGTTGGTTGCGAGTCTGATCTCGGGGGAGTGGGCTCACTGGACTCGTTTTGTAGGTTGCGATCTTCCGTCGTCCTTGGAACGACATCTTTGATTGTCGGAGCGGGAACACTTGAAATCGATCACCATGTGAGTCTTGCCTGTCCAACGGCAGGATGCGAAATCGTTGTGTTACTGTCTGGAAATCTTATTTTGGGTCCAGATTCTTCAATCAGCGGAGGCAGCTTGACGATACAAGCTGAGAATGTTACAGTACTAGATAGGTCTTCTATCACAAGCACAGCGTCAGCTGGAGACCCCCCAATTGGCACTAGCGGTACCCCCTCGAATACTGAAGGTGCAGGCGGTGGCCATGGAGGCCGCGGGGCGTCCTGCGAGAGGAGCGAAGACAAAGATCAACGCGACACTTGGGGCGGGGATACGTACTCGTGGGAAACACTAACCGCACCGTGGAGCCATGGCAGCCGGGGCGGCACCACGGAGGAAAGGGACCTGGACCTCGGCGGCGCTGGAGGAGGTCGCATTGCGATCACTACTGTAGAATTGAACCTCAACGGTGTCATTGAGGCTAACGGCGGTTCCGTTGGATTACACGGCGGTGGTGGCTCCGGCGGCAGTATCATTATCAGTGCTCGAAACATGTAACCAGTCTTGTTCATTCTCTCCAAATCCCGCCATGTTGCTGCGGTCGGTTATGACATCATAGCGTCTTCCACAACGCTCAATCTTCCAATGCCTGAAACTACGTGAAACCAAATACCAAGGATCAAGGATTCTTTCTCTTGCAATTTCTCGTAAAATCATCCCAGCTAGCTTAGCTTATCGACTGTACGTGTTTTTGGGTGGAATTGCAGTGATGGGAAAGATGGGACGATCTCCGCTTCAGGAGGTTCAGGGCGGGGGGGCGGCGGCGGCGGCCGTGTGGCTGTCCTCTACGAGCGTTTGCATGGTGTTGACATTTTCTCCAACGGTGGTGACAGTTTAGCCTGTCCACAAAATGCTGGTTCTGCAGGCACCCACTTCGACGTAAAGACTCAATCTCTGATAATCTCGAACAACAATAAGAAAAGTCGGACTGATACTGTGCTCTATTCCTTTCCCGTTCGACCTCTCTGGTCGAGCGTCGTTCTTAAAGAATCGGCCAGAGTTGGAGTTCCTATGCAGTGGAGTCGGATTCAGGTAAAGATTCCTACGATTGAGCAGTTTTCGTGTCTAATGGGCTCTAGTTCACTCCATTTTCCAAAGAAGCTCCTCATTCCGTAGCGAACTGATTGCAGGTGGCAGGAGCAGTGAGGCTAATGTCGAATAGTTTGCTCAACTTTGGCACCCAATTTTCCAGCTCGGAGTTGGAGCTGATATCGGGCGACTTTGTTATGGACAACTCAACCTTGTTGGTGTATGGAGCATTGCGATTGACTGCAAACATGCTCTCATTAACCAACTCTTTGATTGATATTGTAGCTGCTCTAGATGAGTTAACAATTGCGACTTCAGTCGTGGAGGCAAGCAATTTGGCATGTATACGAGTGAGTGATGGATCTGTTCTGTTTACTCTCTCGCTTCCTCCCTTAGCTCTTTGTTGATGGCACAACCCTGTGTGCTGATCCCTGGTTGTCTCTTGCTATCCAATTGATGTACTTGGTGTGGAGACCGTTCGCAGGGAGGATCTACAATTAGATCAAACGCAAATTTGGGGGTGCATGGGCAGGGTCTCCTGGAATTACAGGGTGCTAGAGATTCTATCATGGCACAACGTCTGTTCATCTCCTTGTTCTTCAACGTCATTGTAAGTTACGCTCTCACTTCAACATCCAAAGCCTGATTAGACGAGCGAGTACCTTAGAATTATGCTCTGGTCCATCAAAAGAATCATCCTAACAGAGGCGGCTTGTCCAGATTGGACCGGGCGCCAGTTTGCGGGCGCCACTAGAAAATGATTCTTCCATTCAAGCCCGGTAAGATCACGAAGACCAACAAAAAGAAAATTCTTCTATAGTGCCATTCTTGACAGATATATATCAGCGTATTAACCTGCCTTCACTGGTCGCATTTCTTCACAGGATTACGAGCATGTACTGTAATGAGCCTTTTTGTCCAACTGAGGTGCTAAGCCCTTCCGAGGATTGCACCTTAAACGTGTTATCGCCATTCACTCTCCAGATTTGTCGAGTTGAAGATGTGAGTATTTATGGCGAGGTATCAGGGAGTGTTGTGCACATACAGCGAGCTCGTAATATCGCCGTGAACCGTGAGGGCGTCCTCACCGCGTCAGGCTTAGGTGCGCCTCTTAGTTCACAAGCTCTTCTACTCAAGTATCTCCTCTAATAAAGAAACTTTCGAGTTTTTTGAACACTTATCCGTCGAAATTATCTGTGATGTGTAATGCTTGAACCGAAGCCTAATCTGTGAATAGGCTTACAGGATGCGTGGAGGGTTTAGGAGTAGGCAATGTACGCCAAGGAGGCGCTGGAGGTGGGGGAGGACATGGGAGTAATGGGGGTTCCGGAGTCCTGGATGGGATGAAATCAGAGGGAGGAGCTAGCTATGGCAACAAGGAGATGCCCTGTGAGCTTGGTAGTGGTGGTGGGAATCCCGGCGCTGGTAGCTCAACTGCTGGCGGTGGACTTATAGGTTAGAAGCTCTGAGGCTCCCGTAACTAAGTGTTTATTCTTCTCTCACGTACTCTTCCCTTTTATATCTGCATTGTTGAATCTTTGTCCTGGTTTGTTTAAGGACTTTTTTACACTCTATATCAAGGTAGTTACCAAAGATTGTTCCAGGTGCATATCAGGAAAATTTTGAAAGAATTTGAAAGACCTTCGTTTAACAGACATAGGATTCTAAACAAACGTAGTTTACAAGAAATATCAGACCGTTAGAAGACAGAAAACATTAGACAATTAGTCCAGTTATTCTCTGTTTTAATGATTACAATCATATTGGGTACACTCATGAAATGTTATCCATAAAAAAGAAAATCATGTAGGATTGCATCATGTTATCATTCATTCTTCTCTCTCTCTCTCTCCCTAGTCAATGCACAAACTCTGCTATTGTGGGCCAGTCATGTCCTTTTTAGGCAACGCCCACCATGATAAATGTGATGGGGACGTTCTATTTTCATATAGTGAAAATGGGGCCAGTAATCCTCTGAGGCAAGTAGTGATGACGGGATTGACCCTTGCGCCAGTTGTAGGGTCAATGGAGCACCCTGTTTCAATGCTGGATGTCTGCGGAGTGGTGGCTGCCGATGGAGAGAGCTCCACACGCGCTGATCCCGTGGAAGCCCAACTGGGAGGAGGACCTGGGGGCGGATCAGGCGGAAGTCTTTTGCTGTTCCTGCAAACCATGACTTTACGAAACGGGTCAATTCTATCGACTGCCGGCGGGCAGGGTGGTGCAGTAGGTGGTGGGGGAGGCGCTGGAGGACGAATCCACTTTCACTGGGCTGATATTCCCACGGGAGAGGACTACGTGCCGATTGCTACTGTCGAAGGACTTATTGTTACCGGGTGGGTCACCAATTGGTCCACATCTTTTTCCATTATGCAGTCTTTTTGGCTTGGGAACACATGGACTGTGAAGCATTGGCACATGGCGAAGTGCAAGCATTCGTTTTTACGGTAGGAGTGTGGTATATGATGCAGCGGAGGTGAGGGCAGCAATGATGGCCTCAAAGGTGGCGACAGCAACGTCAGTGGGAAGCAGTGTCCTCGTGGTCTGTATGGCCTTTATTGTGTGGTGAGACAAAGTAGTCGTCTAATTGTTTCATTGCACTTTTCATGTGTTTGGTTTTTGCAGTAAGTTTCTGTGGTGCCAATATGAAACTAGTCATGAAGTAACGGCTAGATGAAAATTGTGGTTTTTTTGTGAGTTTCAAATAGGAATGCCCTGTCGGAACATATAAAAATGAGACGGGCTCCTCACGTGAGCTCTGCCGGGAGTGCCCTCCTTTGCCCCCTCGTGCTGAACATGTTTACGTCCGTGGTAAGATTCAGTTAATGTGTTTTTAAATTTTTTTCATGCGTCGTCATTAACTAGGTGGATATCTTGTGTTGGTCTAATTCTTTGAGTTGGGGGGGGAGGGGGGGGGGGGTGATTTCTTATAGAGGGAGGTTTTTATCGATGAGCTTTATGCTAATAACATGAATTAATTCATGCAGGTGGTGCTTCGAAACCAACTTGCCCTTACCAATGCATCTCGGAGAAGTACCGGACGCCTCACTGTTACACTATGCTGGAGGACCTGATCTACACACTCGGAGGCCCTTACCTGTTCATCCTCTTCCTGTCCTCCGTGATGGTCATTCTGGCTCTTATGTTGAGCGTAGCGCGTATGAAACTAGTTGGCAACGACGACTACTCTCGTACCACTGTAACCCCTCGAGGACTCCACGTTGAACAATCTTTCCCTTTCCTGGAGTCTTTGAATGAGGTCCTTGAAACCACTCGTGTTGAGGAGTCGCAGCGTCATGTTCACCGAGTGTACTTCATGGGGTGCAATTCATTCAACGAACCGTGGCATCTGCCGCACTCTCCTCCAGACCAGATTGCCGATTTTGTGTAAGTCACACATTCCCCTCTACAGTTTTGATTATTCAGGTTGGGATGATGTAGATATAAAAATTCTCTTCCTGCAAATTTTCATATGTGAAAAATGTGGCCCACGGCAGATATGAGGATGCCTTCAACAGGTTTGTGGATGAGGTGAATGGCTTGGCAGCGTATCAATGGTGGGAGGGCTCAGTGCACAGTATTTTAACACTATTAGCCTACCCGTTCGCCTGGTCGTGGCAGCAATGGCGTCGCCGGGAGAAGTTGCAGCGGCTGCAGGAATTTGTACACTCTGAATACGATCACGTCTGTCTGCGTTCTTGCCGTTCCCGAGCACTCTACGAAGGGTTGAAGATGGCAGCCGGACCAGATCTGATACTGGCTTATATCGATGTCTTTCTCGGAGGGGATGAGAAGAAGTTAGCGCCAACACTACATGAACGGTTGCCAATGCTGATGATATTTGGCGGCAATGGGAGTTACCTGTCTGCTTACAACTTTCATAGCGACAATCTCCTCACTAATCTTATGTCTCAAGCAGTTCCAGCAACCACGTGGTACAGATTAGCAGCGGGATTGAACGCACAGCTGAGGACTGTCAGGAAGGGCTCCCTTCGCACCAATCTGTTCCCAGTCATCAGTTGGGTCGAATCGCACGTCAATCCTTGGCTTTTTGAGCATGGTTTACGCATTGACTTGGCTTGGTGTCAAGCCACAGCGTCAGGTTACTACCAACTAGGCATACTTTTGAGCGAACCCGGTGATATTCCGCAATATGTCCTGCCTGCCTCACTGCTGAACGTGCCTCCGCGATCTCCAGGAAGTATAAGTGCAGGGAGCTTGGGATGTGTTGAGGAGGGTACGACCAGGCGAACCCAAAGCTGGCATCAGGGCCGCAGCTATTCCTTGTTGAGGTATAGACAACGAATTGGCGGTTCAACATTAGACGCTGTATCGGTGAAATCACTGGAGGATCGACATCACGCGATGTTTCCGCTGTCGTTCCTCCTCAGGAACACTCGCCCAATCGGCCAGCAGGCATCTGTCGGCTTAGCCATGTCCTTGTTGATTCTCCTTGATCTGAGCTTGACTCTTCTCATGTTGCTGCAATTCTACTCCGTCAGCGTCGAAGCCGTCCTCCTCATTCTGTTGTCCCTGCCACTGTCATCCGTTCTACCCTGCGCTGCTGGTTTGAACGCCTTGTTCAGCCATGGCTCCAAAAGATCGGCAGGGCTAGCACGTGTTTTTGCCCTTTGGAACGTCGCCTCTCTTGTAAACGTGGTAAGCAGCTCATCGTTTGGCTTTTTAGTAGCCTTTGAAGCATTTTTTTTTTTATAGCATAACTGAAATCAAATCCACACTACATCGAATGCTTGCTGAAATTCTATGTGCCATTCGGTTTCTAAGCATCTGGTGTTGAGTGCAGCTGATGGCACTGGCGATCGGGTTCCTCCATTACAACGTTGCGCTAAATCTTCACTCAAAGCACATACCACGCAGATACATCAATTCGTAAGTTACCCTAAACTTTACAACAATTACCCTTCTCTTCCTTGCCTGCTAGGCATACAGACACCAACAACTCATGCACACTAATGACTCACCGACCTTGCTACAGACAACCACTTTTCCAACTTACAAATTCACTCACCGTAACCTTTTTTTTTTATTCAGAGAGAAAGACACATGGTGGGTGCTACCGGCTCTTCTTCTGATAGTGAAGTGTGTCCAAGCACGGACCATCGATCTGCACGTCGCCAACCTCGAGGTCCAGGACCGTTCATTGTATTCAAGTGACCCCTTGAAATTCTGGGAGCCTTGATCGACACTGGACACGCACACATACAACCAAACATTAGCTTTACAAAAACAGTAGCCAAAAGATGGAAGAGGATTTTGCACCCAGGCCATCTTGTACACGGCAAAGATTTTCTCAGCTCACCTGACAGCCACCACCATGACCTCACATGGCGGTCCTTCAAAAGATCTATCACTTGTAAAGAGCCTGGTTTCTTACTGGGTCTGTTTTTTTGTCGCCGAAACACTGCAACCCAAGTTGCCGTTTCGATTGGTGAGCAAATTTCTTTTAAGGTTTAAAAACATGGAACTCATGAGATGCTCACACAGGTTTCGTCACAGGTAGCCATTGATTTAGGCCCATTCGTTTCTCTCCATGATCTTAAACAAGCAACGATTAGTGGGCTTATGAGATATCTGGTGTCGGTATAGCGTCATTTTGAAGACTAATTTGTAAGGTTATATCAAAATCTCTATTCCAGAAAAGGTATTGCCTCTCGATGCTTGTAATATTACTGGCTATGGTGAACCGTATGAAGTTGCTTTGAGTGCATTTATTTCAGTGCAGTCGTATCTTTGAATGCATAAAATAAGTGTGTGTGTGTGTATATATATACTTATTGAGTGGTGGTTTTATCGACATCCAACTTTCATACAATCTAAACTAGCCATGAGTTCTTAGTGTGCTCTCTGATTTAAAAAGATTATAATTTATATATGATTTTTTGGTACATATTATCACAAAATCTTTGTTCTAAAAAATATATATTTCATGGATTTCTAACTTTTTTGCTTCTTGATACTTTTCTTGTATTTGAGTCTTTTTGTTTAAAACTCTAAATTTATATTAACCCTATTCTAAAAACTAATAATTCAATAAAAATGTTTAAAATATTTAATATATTTTTGCCAATAATAAATCTTTTAAATAGTTGTTGAAACAAATCAAGAATATGGTAGAGAGGCTTGAGGTGCTACACATATTATTGATTAATATAGTGATTAAACACAAATTGATTAATGTAGTGATTAAATACAAATTGATTAATGTAGTGATTAAATACAAATTGATTATACATCACTTTAGAAAAATTAAAAGTTGAATAAAAAGCTTATTAGAATTTGAAATTAAGTCAATTGTTTTCTTTGAAGTGACAAAAAATGGCAATTCTATTTTATTAAAAAAAATTGTTAGGAAGTGCTACTTAAATTTAAAATCTATTCCATCGAGGTAAAAAAAAAATCTATATAATATTTTAAGAATTATTCTTTGGTATATTTTTAGAATAGTGATAAAATATTTAGAATATATTCTTTGAATAAAAATGATTTCTTTGATAAATTATTTATTGCCACAAAAGATATTAAATAAGATGCATTATAATCTCAATGTCCTACAAAATTCTTTTATTCCAACATCTAAAATTAAAAACAAAGAAGTTTTGTTCCACTTATATTTTTAAAAATATATCTTAAAGATAATATATTTTTGTAGAATTTTTTTTAATTAGATGTTTTTAAGATATTTTTTTAAATGCTAAAATTTATAGTATATCTTTATTTTTTTAATAAAAAAATTATGTTGATTTATAAAACAAAAATGAAACATTTAATATTTATTTTTTAATTTAAAATTTATGAAATATTACATACACTCAAATAACTATAATAAATAAAGAATTTCTAAGATTGTTGATTTAATAAAAAATAATTTAGATTTCTATTTATTTACTTTAATAATAAGATATATAAATATAATACAATATATATTTAAGAGATTCTATATATTTTATTATTTAAAAAAATATGACCTTTATATTTACAATGGTTTGAGAAGTATATAATCTTAAAGATTATTAATTATGATATATCAATTAAATAATATTTTCTTTAACTATTTGATTTTAAGATGAATAATTAGTCTAATAAAATATAATTTAAATCAAGATGGTCTATACATATATATATATATATATATATATTAATAAAGATTTCATAATATTAGCTAAATTTTTATATAAAAATCAAATAAATGTATTCTATTTTGTCTCTAGAGAATTCTAATTATTTTATACCAGCAAAAATTTGTACTATTAGATATACAAAAGTTATAAAAACTAATGAAAAAGGTCTTGACCAAATTAAAAGGCTCCAAAAAGCCCTAAATTCTTGTATCTCTCAAATTTCTTGTACTCTTGTGTTCCCTTATTCTTCCATTGTTGTATAACATGAATTCTTACTTAAGAATATATCAGACACTTAGCTATGGAAGGTAAATAAAAAATGCAACAAGAAGATCCTACTAAGTCTAATAGAATCTTGAATAAACTCTAAGTAATCTTTAATAAACCTAATCAAACTTTGACCAATCCAAAAGAAATTTAAAAGAAATTAATAAAGAAATATATAAAAAAACATAAATTAATCTCAAATAAAAATAACAAAAAAATTCTCAAGAAATACTAAAATAAAAACTTTAAAGAAACAACAAGAACCTGAAAGAAATATTAAAATAGAAATCTTAAAGAAATGACAATGAATCCAAAATTAATACTAAAAATAAAATTCTAAATAAACCTTAAATAAATGTTAAGTAACTCTTAACCAAATCTTAATATGGTCCTAAATAAATCCCAAAGAAATTCGAACAAATTCTAAATAAATCCCAACAAAATTCTAAACAAGTTCTAATGAAATCTTAATCAATCCTAAATAAATCCTAATAAAATCCTTATGAAATTCAAACTGAATCTTAAGAAAATTTTAATTAATTCCTATATTTGTTTTATAATTTTAATAAATAATAATAAATTTTTGATCTCATTTAAAATTTTACTTACACTTCAATTTACAAGAAATTAATATACATACAAAATTTGAGAAAAATCAAACTCACTAATTAAACAACAAAGCTCCTAAACTTCTTGGATATTTACTACTTTCCTTTTCCAATCTAAATGTTGAACTTTCAGCAATAATTTCTTTCTTACAAATCCATTCAATTGATTCAAAAGTTGGTTGGTATGTAGGTATCTAAGTTAAAATAGCCTTCACCAATTTTTACTTCAATCAAACAATAAGATTTTACAAGATTTCAAAAACCTGCTTTAAGCCTATATTTCAAGTATTTGAGATCTTAACTTGATAAAACTCTCATATCCTTCAATATAATTGTTTGATTGACATCAAATTTTACAAACATATTTACAACAAGTACAATGAAAATCCTACAAATTGTCATCTATGTATATACTACAAAACTTACAAAATCCTCAAATTTATAAACTATATTTTATTGCTCAAAATCCAAAACTACTGAGTACATCTCTCTTTTTGAAAAACCCTCAAAACTCAATATGCCTTCAAATTACATAAAACCAACTTTTAAAAATCCTCTCACTAATTTGCTTTCAATTCCTACTTTTTGATCAGCCAAAGAACTCTAGAATTGCTATCAATGTGTAGTTTTGTGTCTTGGGGTCTGATTCTAACCTTTGTTCACAATCGGTTCTCTCCACGTATCAATTCTTGATATTTTGAGGTAATTTTTGCTATTCCTTATTTTTAATTTTTTCCTGTAAATGATTATATTAATTAATTATCTTATTTACTTTGATTTGGCTCATTTATGTCCCTACAAAGTAAGTAGAAGTCTCTTCTATAAAAAGGCGGCATTAAGACTAAAAGTTTTTACTTTCCTATCATTTATCATTGTTTTGCTACTATATCTTTGTATTAGGTTCTTCTGTAATAAAACCTATATATATATATATATATTTATCTTTCACCATATAGTCATGTTACTATACAACATTGTTTCCTATATTCTTTTCTTCACTACCAATGACAAGGTTTTTTTTTATAATAATTTCTTTATAATGATTTCAAATTTTTAAGTTAATAATATAAAAATAAAAAAAATTATTTTCAGTTATTTTAGATTTTATTTCTAAAAATTAAGTTTCTTTTCTGATTTTTTAACCAAATAGAACATTCTTAAAAAATAAATCATAAATTGATATACATAAGTTAATTTTATCTATAAAGATAATTTGATATTAAATTTAAAAATTAATTATTGTCCATTTAATTTGATATCTTTATTAACCATCTATAGGTGTTTTGGTTAATTTTTTGTAATAATATTTTTATAAATAATATAAAAAATAATAAATTTATAACTATGTATTTACTGATTATTGGTTGATTATATCAAAGCTATTAAAAGATAAAAATATTATTAATAATCTGAAATTTAATTTATTTAATAAATTTTTTATTTGATTTAGAATTTTTTATATTTTTATATTAATTAGTAATAATTATATATATTTTATTAAAATTATTCTTATTTAATAATTTTTAATTTAGAATATTAAAATTAATGTAATTTATTTTAAAAGATTTATAGATTACTAGCATGTGATAGTGTACATGCATTAGAATTCTATAACAAATGTGTACAATAATTTTAAATTTTTAAATTTTTTCAAATATTATAGCATTAATATCTAAAATTGTAGTAGTTATTTTTAAAAATTACTTACATGCTTTAGTCTTAATAAAAAAAATGTAGATATAACTTATAAAATAGATATTTTATTTTGATAATATGTCTAAATTTATTTTTCTTTTGTGTACATGGTACTAATATGGTATAAATTATTTGATTGCATGCTTATCATAAGCATAACTTAAATAAATTAAAACATGCTAGTGGCTTATTCATTAATACCATTATTAGTTTCAATTTTATAAAAGGTTAATAAAATTTAACTTAGTAATGAACTGTAATATCATAATATTGTTTATTTTAGTCTTTTTGATTTTTTTTTGATTTTTGAAATATAAGCATGACTATTTATTAAGTCTAAAAAAATTATACATTCAAGGGCGAACAAACATACCAAATTCTATTGTTATAGGTTATAATGAGTTTAATTTTTTTTTATATAAAATCAGCAAGCATGGAAAAAACTCAAAATAAAAAGACTATTTTTTTTAATGACATTTTCTAATGCAAGTAAATTTACCTATAATTCTATTACAAAGAATTTAAAATTTTATAGTTATAGCTATTTATTGGTTGTATTTTGAAGTACATGTTAATCATTTGATGAATTTTAAAAAAGAATTTACTTATTTTTTTCATAAATTATTGATAAATATCAGATATATGAGTTTTTAATTCAAAATATTTAATTAAAAATTTTAAAAATAATAAAATTATTAATAAATCTATTAATGAAGTTTTCAAAAAAACTAAATAGAAATTTCTAATAAAATCATTAAATAAATATAATATTTTATATATATATATATATAAATATTAAATAGACCTAGGCTTTTGATAAACTTGTCTATCCATCCTAATTATCATGAAAAAAAAAAAAAAAAAAAAAAAAAATGACCACTAGATTCATTTTTCTATTATTAAATCTGCAACCAATGAAAACCAACCACATTTATTACAATTATCATATTCTTTAATCATAGTTAAATTATCATATTCTTT